TTACGCCACTTATAAAATACTGTGTTCAATTCTGGTCTCCCTCCTACAGGAAAGATTATGTTAAACTTGAAAAGGTGCAGAAAAGTTTCACAAGGAAGTTGCCGGGATTGGAGGGTTTGAGCTATAGGGAGAGGCTGAAAAGGCTTGGGATATTTTCCCTGGAGTATCGGAGACTGAGGGGTGACCTTATTCGGGTTTATAAAATCATGAGGAGCATGGATAGGGTGAATAGTCAAGGTCTTGTTTCCGAGGGTAGGAAAGTCCAAAACTAGAGGGCATAGGTTTAAGGTGAGGGGAAGGATTTAAAAGGAACATAAGGGGCAACTTTTCATGCAGAGGGTGGTACATATATGGAATGAGCTTCCAGAGGAAATGGTGGAGGCTGGTACAGTTCCAACATTTAAAAGGCATCTGGATGGGTACATGAATAGGGAGGATTTAGAGGGATATGGGCCAAATGCTGGCAAATGGGACTAGATTAGTTTAGGATATCTGGTCAGCATAGACGAGTTGGAGCGATGTACTGTACATCTCAATGACTCTAAGCATCTGACAATTTCTTCATCTAGAGAGTAGGAGCCTGTGGAATTCTCTACCACAGAAAGTGGTTGAGGCCAAAACATTAAATGTTTCAAGAAGGAGTTAGATATAGTTCTTCGGTCTAAAGAGATCAAAAGTATGTGGAGAAAATTGAGAACAGGGAACTGATTTAGATGATCAGCTATGATCATTATTGAATCGTGGAGCAGGCCTGGAGTGTCAAATGACCTATGCTGCTCATATTTTCTAAGTGCTGTCGAATCTGAGTCATTGTTTTCAATTTATCTACGAACAAGTATGAAGCAAAGCAGATGCATTTTTTGTTGAAAAGCAGAACAATAAACATGCTGGAAATCTTGAGGGAAGGAACAAAATGCTGGAAACATTCAACTCAGTTTTGCTCTCCAATGATTTTATTAATTCAGTTAATAATCTTTCACCAGAATGAAAGGTCATCAGCCTGAAAAGTTAACTCTATTTCTCTCTCCTCAGACACTGCAAAACCTATTGAGTATTTGTTTTGTAACTCACACTTTCAAAACAGCCATCTTTGCTTGGGTTTTGTATTGATTGGTGCTCCTCTCCGTGTGTGCCTGCTTGATTTTTCACAAGCTATTATGTTGTTACTGTTCATACAGGGACTGTGCATTGTCATGCACAAGCCTTGCATGTGGTTTCATTGGGTTGAGCAAGCTACATGTGGAGGAAACAGCTGGCTCTGCACAACGCAGAAATGTTGCAGAATCTCAGACTCGGCACTATAGAATGGATTGGTCTGGGTGAAATATTATTGCTTTTGCTGCAACTTGGTTACGTGATATGTTGCCCTGTTTTGCAAAAGAAGTATTGGGGGATGGGGGTTGAGTTTTGGGTTATTACACTCGTCTGTAAGAGAAGAAAGATACCTGAGTTTGCTTCTGATTTTTTAAGTTTATGGAAATCAGCAGCTGACAGACTTTAAACAATTTAATATATATGCAATATAAAGCTAATCTGTGCAATGGTGATCGCGACAGCTGTCATCAGTTGTTGCAAAATTCCATGTTTTACTTTTGTCCTTTAAGGAAGGAAATCTGCAGTCTTTATCCAGTCTTGTCTACATGTGACTCCAGACCCATAGCAATGTGGTTGACTTTTAATTGCCTTCTGAAATGACCTAGCCATTTAATTCAGACACAACTGAGGACGGGCACCAAATGCTAGCATTGTCAGCAATGGCCTCATCCCATGAAAGAATAAAGAAAAAATAAGGACAATAATGGAATACATTTTCCCCCCCAAATATCTATCATTCATCACGTGCAAGTACTTTGCATAGAATTTCAAATTGTATGTTACAGAGAGTGTAATAAAATAATTATTTTTCTATACAGCATGTTCTACGGGGAGTTACTCAGTACAGTTGAATTTTGTGTCAGGCATGTGGTCTGAGGGGTGCTACCGCTTATTCAGTCCCCTCGGTTTACTGTGGCAGGCAGACCTTGGATTATGAATAATGGAATATAGAAACTTTCCCCAAAATGTACTTTATTCATAAGATTTATAGATGTATAATACGTGGTTCAAAATTAACATTACAAAAGGTGCATACCAAATGAATATTTTCCCAATACGGTGTATGACTAATTACGGAATGTAGAAATCAAGATTTTTGTGCTCTACAGTGAACTACAGGTAATTACCTATTACGGGTTTTTAAAAATCATTCATGGGATGTGGGTGTCACTGGTTAGGCCAGCACTTATTTCCCCATTCCCAATTGCCCACAGGGCAGTTGTGTGTCAACTGCAATGACATAAATTAGGTTTCAATCCGATGTTGTACAATGCATTAAAACCAATGCAGTAACTCTGTAGAAATAGTGCAGGTGATCAAAGTGAAATAATATGATAGAAATCACAATCAATGAAATGTTACAGTGCAGAGGAAGGCCATTCAGCCCATTGTGTCCACATGAGATCTTCAAATGAGCATCATTACCTCATGCCGATTTCCTGCTTTTTCCCCATACCCTTGTACATTATTTCTTTCCAAATAATCATCCAGTACCCTCAACTGAACCTGTCTCCAACTTGTTTGTGTCCTTTTGGAATTCCACACTGTTCTCACAGTTTACAACTCTTACAAGTTTCTTGCCAACTGCAAACTTTGAAATTGTCCTTTCGTACCAAGATCCAGATCTTTAATATATGTCAGCAAAAACAAGGGTCGCAAACTGACCCCTGGGGAACTTCACTTGAACTCTGATTTTTTTTATCCTTGGATGAGGGAACATTCTCTATCTATCTACTCTATCCAGTCTGCTCATGATTCTGAAAACTTCTTTCGGATCTCTTAGCTGCCTTCTCTCCAAGAACAGTCGCAACGTCTTCGGTTTATCCCCAGAGCTGAAATTTTTCAACCATTCTTCTCAATCACTTCTGTGCTCTCTCTCTAATGAGTTCAAATCCTTCCTATAATGTAGCACCCAAAACTGTTCTCAGTATTTCAGCTGACGTCTGTGTTTTATACAAGTTCAACATTACCCAAACTGACCCCTGGGGAACTTCACTACAAATCTTCCTCTCGCCTGAAAACTACCACTCTATTTCCTATCAGCCAATTTTGGATCCACATTACTACCGTCCCTTTTATTCCATGACATGTAACTTTCCTCACAAGTTTGTTGTGTGGCACAATATTAAATGCTTTCTGGAAGTCCATGTACACCACATCAAAAGCATTGACCTCATCAAGTCTTTGTAACCTCTTCAAAATAATTCCAGCAAGTTATTTAAACACAATTTCCCCTTCAGTAATCCATGCTGACTCTCTCCAATCAATCCACCCTTACCCACTTGACTATTCTATCCCAAATACTTATTTCTACAAGGTTCCCCAGCACAGAAGTTATATTGACTATAATTGCAGGGCTTATCCTTGCACATTTTCTTCAACAAGCTGTTTATGTTTGTAATTCTGCAGTTTTTGACACCTCCCTCAGAGTAGGAAGACTGAAAGATTATGGCTAAGATCCCTCCAATCTCCAGTTCACTTCATTCAAAATCCTTGGATGCATCTCATCTGGCCCCAGTATCTTGTCAAATTTAAGTACCTACAATAACATATTACATGCATGCACAGTGATTCTGAGTTAGATTTTCTCCCCTTTTCCCACTTCACCTATTAACCTGCAACTCTCTACATCTCCAAATATTTTGTGAACCCTGGTATCTTCCTCTACCATTCTTTCTTGGTTCCCAAACTAGTGACAAATTAATTTAAAGACCTCCCATCCATAGTAGCAAAACACCTTGGAAGCAACTCAGTCCCCTTGCAGAGGTACCAACTTCTCCAGAGTCAGTCCTGGTGTCCCAAAAATCTAAACAGCTCCCTCTTCCCTCATATTGGTGATCAAAATACAAGTGCATTAACACAGTAGAAATAGTATGGATAATCCAAATACACGTAAAATAACTCTCTAGAAATAGTACAGGTGAGAAAATTACAGGTGATATAACAATGTAGAAACAATATAAGTGATCAAAAATAGAGAATAATATAGCAACGTGATGGATGATCTAAGATGGATAATAATGTCTAAAAACAAGCAATAATATAGAACTAGTATGTCTGATCAAAATGAAAGTGCTATAGCAACTACAGAAATTGTATAGGTGATCAAAATACAGGTGCAATAACACTACAGAAATATAGTTAATCAAAATGCAACAGCAAAAACACTTTAAAAGTAGTATAGGTGATCAAAATACAGGTGCAGCAACAGTACAGAAATTGTATAGGTGATGAAAATGCAAGTGCATTAACACTACAGAAATAGTATAGGTGATCAAAATACAGATGTAATAACATTATAGAAATATAATTGATCAAAATGCAACAGCAAAAACACTATAGAAATTGCATAGGTGATCAAAATGCAGGTGCAATAACACGACAGAAATAGTATGGATGATGAAAATGCAAGTGCAATAACACTGTAGTAATGACATAGGTGATCAAAGTGCAGTTGCAGTAACTTGCATAGAATTAACAACACTATGGAAACAGAATTCTTGATCTAAGTGCAATATATCAGTAATACAGGTGATCAAAGTGCAACAACAATATAGAGACAGTATGGTTGATCAAAAGTCGGGACCATGAGAGCCTGGCCGGAGGTGGGCAGTCAGTCTCCCCCTATACTTTGGGAAAGGGCTACAGAGCTACACTTCCTGGTTCTCCCCCTCCCCCCACAACATTCCCTTTAAAAACACCCGCCTTCCGCATCAGCGGAAAGCCCGCCCCTCTCCGCGGCGGCCGGAGTCGCCGACTGGTTGGAGGCGACCGTCCGTCAGGAGGGGGTGGCCAATGGGAAGGTGGAAGGGCGGGGCCGGCCATTGTGACGTGTGCGGCGGCCGTTTCGCGGCAAATATTTGGCGCGTAAAAAGGAGCGAGAGAGAGAGAGAGGGTCAGCGGCGGCGGCAGGAGCCACCAGCACCGGGCTTCATGGAACCTTCCGGGATTGAAGGGCAAATCCAAGTATCCTTTTAAACCTGCAGTCTGGCCTGGCCTGGCCCGGCCCGGGCCACTACCTGCTGCAGTTACGGTCACCGGCTTCAGGCGTTCTCCTGCAGCGAGAACCGACACTTTTCCCTCCACCAGAAACAAAGTAACAAAACAAAAAGAAACAGCAACAACAATTGCAACATTGACCATGTCCAGGGAAGTGTTACCGGGTCCGGGAAAGTCCGAAACCGCCGCTGATTCCCTCTGGGCGGGTACCGGGGCATGCGGCGGGCCCGGGCGGCCGCTGCTGATCTTCTCCTCCTCTTCCCCTCCACCACCTTCTCCTTCCCCTTCCCCAGCAGGAAGTGGCCCGGTTGAGGCGGAGAGGTCGGGGACTGGGCCCCGGGCGGAGGCGGCTCAGGGGGTCCTGCTGTTCGCTGCTACCCCCCTGGGTCCCGGCTCAAACGAGTGGGGACAGCGGCCCCCCCTGGGGCGCCCACCGGTAATTGGTGTGTGTGTGTGAGAGAGAGAGACAGCACCCAAAGGAGTTTTACTGAGTGTGCCATTACAGCTCCTAGTTATATATTTTTGTGTTTTATGATATATTTATGTTGCAAGCACCATCAGTAACCCAGAGAGAAGCATTGCTACTGTGATTGAACACCTATGTCCTTACACTCCGTCTCATCCGTGTGCATCCTAACCTCAGAGCTACCTACATCACCAGAAGCGCTTTCTTAATGCTGATTGTCGTCTCCTGCTGATCTAAACACATCAGTTTCCTATTACATTTAGACAATGAAGAAGGCAGCACAGTTTCGGGTTAAATTTCCATCCAAAAACATTTGGGCTGTTGTCCAGAATGAGAAGTTTTCATCTCTGGTACAAAGAAAATAGGGGGAGGCCACTTGGTGTTTTGGGTGCTGTTGACTTAGTATCTGGTCATTTTACAGATTGTTTGTTTGAGCTTTTCAAGCAAGTTCTTTCTGTCTGTGAGTGGGTTGCTAATTTATCTCTGACTACCACATCATGTCAATGACCCACATTGTGTGTGTGTGTGTGTGTGGACCCCAAATCTTGTAGTAAAACCTTTTTTGGGGTTGGGAAGATACAGACTACAGTGTAAGAAAAGTCAAGCTGCCCTGAAAATTTAATAAAAGATGCTTAACTGCCTGTGCCTTGTGTCTGCAAAATCTCCTTATGCCGAATGTTGTAAAAATCTTACCTGGTTCATTCAAGCCATTAGGGGGAAGGAAATTTGCTGACTTTACCCAGTCTGGCCTACATGTGATGCCAGGCCCACGTCAGTGGGACAGATTCTTGCTGCCTTCTGAAATTGTTCAATAAGACATTCAGCTCAATGGCAATTGGGTATGGGCAACAAATACTTGGCAATGATGCTCACATCCCATGAATGAATTAAAATAATGTTGCAGTGACACTTATAAAAACAAAACAAAATGCATTTCAGGTGCTGGTGAGAGCGACACTAAACTGTGCATAAAGATCCATGTTAATTTCTAATATGTTGGGATTGTTAGTTTCAGCTGGAGTACTGCTGTTGCGATTTTGCCTCTATGCTTGAGTTAGGGGAGGGAACAGATAGAGCTCCTATTCCGATTGTTTCCAGGTTATATATGCTGGAAAGTGTGTGTGACTTTCCTCTGAAACCCTTACAGCCAAATATCATGTTGGCATTTGTTGACCAGGCTTACTTTAAAAGTAAAGGAAGGGTTCAGTCATTTCCACAATGTGGCAGAGGAGTTGTAGCTTGAAACAAAAACAAATTGCTGGAGAAATTCAGCAGATCTGGCAGCCAATCTGTAAAGAGAAAGCAGAGTTAATGTTTTGAGTCTGGTGACCCTTCTTCAAGATTGAAATTCTGAAGAAGGGTCATTTGTTCCAAAATATTAACTCTGCTTTCTCTCTCCAAGGATGCTGCCAGACCTGCTGAGTTTCTCCAGCAATTTCTGTTTTTGATTTAGATCTCCAGCATCCGCAGTTCTTTGTTTTATTTTAATTTATTTTAATTGTAGCCTGATTTAACCAGGCCCAAAAGTGGGAGTTGAGAGCACAGATGAAGAATTTTGATTCTCTGGAATTAATGTTGCATGTCTACGGTCTACAATTTAAAAAAAAAAAAAAAAAAAATTGATTGCTGGGATACTTGCAAAATTTGCCTAAATCTCAGGAAGCTGCAGGAGCCAGCCATTGTTTGAAGTGCTTTGACAAGGTTTCTGATCAATACTGTGCTAGCTAGACATTTGTTTTGCCCTTAGCAGTCAATGATCTGTAAGATGTTGGACCTATTAGAGAGAAGATTGTTTGTAACCCTCTAGTCTTCCCGTGAACTTCTGGTTATGAAACTTTTACACAGCGAGCTGCGATCAGAAATCCTGAAAGGATGTTGGAAGCAAGTTCAAAGTAATTTTCAAAAGAAATTGGATAAAAAACATGGAAAGGAAGTGATTGCAGGACCAACGGGTTCAGAGCAATAGGAGTGAGACGAGTTGGATAGCTTGTTCAGAGTGCAGACACTCTGAACACATTGTGCTGTATGACCCTCATCTGCTGCTGTTCAGTAAGATTGAGGCTGACCTGATTATGATGCCAACCCCAGTTCTCTGCACTCCCCCAGTGATTCTCAATTCTGGATGAAAACTGTTGAACTCAGCCTTCACTCTTGGTGGATGGGAGTTTTAAACAAAGCTGATTCTTGGCCAAGTTCTTATCTCAATCTTAAATGGGAGAACTTTTTTAGTTTTAAACTTTAGCCCCACATTCTAGATTCCACCATGAGAGGAAACATCCTCTCAACATTCACCCTGTCAAACCTTGCAATATGATCACCTCACATTCTTCCAAACTGCGAAGTGTATAGGTCCAAACTGCTCAGCCTTTCCTCATGAGAAAGGGAGGTGATAGCCAAAGGATTATCGTTAGACTATTAATCCAGAAACTCAGCAAATGTTCTGGGGACTGGGGTTTGAATTCAACAAAAAAAAATCTGGAATTAAGAATCATTTCAGGATGAGCATTGTTGATAGTCAGAAAGACCCACATGGCTCTCTAATGTCCTTCAGGGAAAGAAATCTGCCAGTCTAACCTCGTCTGGCCAACATGTGACTTCAGAGCCACAGCAATGTGGTTGACTCTCAACTACCCTCTGGAATGGCCTCACAAGCCATATAATTCAAGGGCAGCCAGCAATGTCCACATTTCACCAGTGAATTTTTAAAAAAAATCCCCTTCTCTCAGAAATCAGCCGAGTGAACCTTCTCTGAACAGTTCCACTGGCAGGAGATCCTTCCTTAAGAAAAGGAACCGAAACTGTCCATGTTATACAAAAAGTGCTGTCTCACAAATGCCTGATAGAGTTGTAGCAAGACGTCCCACCTTTATTCTCCAAACTTCTTGCAATGAAAGGCAACATTCTGCTTGCCTTCCTAATTACTAGCTCTGTCTGTGTGCTAGCTTTTTATAATTCATGTAGAGGGTGGCCCAAGATCCTTCTGTACAGCAGTTTTCAGCACTCTTTCAGTGAAGTGGCAGATGGAGTTTAACCCTGAAAAGTGTGAGGTGGTTCATTTTGGAAGGACAAACTTGAAAGCAGAATACAGGGTTAACGGAAAGATTCTTGGCAGTGTGGAGGAGCAGAGGGATCTTGAGGTTCATGTCCACAGTTCCCCGAAAGCTGCCACCCAGGTGGACAGCGTTGTTAAGAAGGCGTATGGTGTGTTAGCTTTCATTAATAGAGGGATCGAGTTCAAGAGACGAGAAGTTATGCTCCAGCTATACAAAAGCCTGGTTCGGCCACATCTGGAGTATTGTGTCCAGTTCTGGTCACCTCATTACAGGAAAGATGTGGAAGCGTTGGAAAAGAAGGAGAGGAGTTTTACCAGGATGTTGCCTGGAATGGAGGGAAGGTCTTACGAGGAAAGTTTGAGAGAGCTGGGGCTTTCCTCTTTAGAACGACAAAGGATGAGAGGTGACTTGATAGAGGTGAACAAAATGATCAGAGGTATAGATAGAGTAGACAGCCAGAGACTTTTTCCTAGGGTGGAGGTAGCTATTACGAGGGGGCATAGTTTTAAAGTGAGTGGAGGTAGATATAGGGGAGATGTCAGAGGTAGGTTCTTTATTCAGAGAGTGGTAGGGGCGTGGAATGCATTGCCGGAGAGGGTAGTGGAGTTGGCCTCATTAGGGGCATTTAAGCGGCTATTAGATAGGCATATGGATGATAGTATAAAGTTTAGGGTAAAAGTTCGGCGCAACATTGTGGGCCGAAGGGCCTGTACTGTTCTATGTTCTTTCCCTGTTTACGTGAATATTCTGCTTTTCCTGGCCGATTTCCTGTCAAAGTGGACAACCTCGCTGCTTTTTCTTGCATGATACCGTAATTTTGTGGCTCCTGTAGAATGTCCTCGGTCACGAGGACTGAGGCAATGATTTGTGGTTTACCTCGGTGTGTGAGCGAGTTGGTTTTTCATCTGGCTTCTTTTGGTGCTCTCTGCAGGTGAAGAGGAAGTTGGAGCTGGAGAGTGATCATCAGTATCTGGCTGTGGAAATGGTGAGCCCCAAAGGGAAAGGCAAGTCTTCAGGGAGAGGTATGGTGCATTGTAACAAAACCTGTGATTGTGCCTTGCTTTGTAACACGCTAAATGTCCATGAAAGACTGTAGCCCCCCAGTCTAACCTCCCCCATCTCAACAACAAACTTTGGAATGCACATGGGTCTTTGCACTTGGTTGCAAACCCTCTTTGGCAAAGACCTGAGATTGCGTGACTGTTCATCTCTTCTGACGGGAAGATGGAATGTGGTTGTAGCTGGTCTTCCTCATTATTAGCTGGGCAGATTTCAGTGGAGCAGACCTGCGCCAGATGGCCACTCTGCCCTTTGAAACTGTACTTGTTTGTCAGGTTCGAGGGCTGATGTTTTCTCTCAACTAGAGCCATCTCTCCATCAGTGGCCCTGTCTCAGCTCAGCTTCATTCACACCTTTGTTAACTTCCCACCTCGATATCCCAAAACCCTCAGGGCTCAGCCTCCTCTACCAGCTCAACGCAAACTGCTCACGTTTGAACTCGCATTCATCCCTACACATCCACATTTTCCTGTCCTACATCATCTCTTGTCCAACAGCACACACATTTCAATGTTCTCATCCTTGCCTCTGATCTCACTCCTCCTTACCCCTTACCACCTTCTGCAGCTCCGCAAACCCCACAGTTCTCTGTGCTTCTCATGTTCTGACCCCTAACACACCCCGATTGCCATCATTTAAACATTAGCAGTTCTAACTTCAGCCTTCAGGTGCCTAGGCCCCTAACTCAGGAGTTCCCTGAATCTTCCTTTCCTGGGTGCCTCAGTGGTTAGCACTGCTGCCTCACGGCGCCAGGGACCCAGGTTCGATTCCAGCCTCGGGCGACTGTCTGTATAGAGCTTGCACATTCTCCCCGTGTCAGCGTGGGTTTCCTCCGGGTGCTCTGGTTTCCTGCCACAGTCCAAAGATGTGCAGGTTAGGTTGGGTTGGCTGTTCTAAATTGTCCCATAGTGCCCAGAGATGTGCAGGTTAGGTGAATTAGCCATGGGAAATACAGAGTGATAGAGATAGGATAGGGTGGGATGCTGTTCAGAGGGCTGGTATGGACTCGATGAGCTGAATGGCCTGCTTCCCAGTGTAGGGATTTAATGATTTTGGATGTTGCTTAAATCCTACCAGGCTTTTGATCACCTGTCCTGATTTCCCCTTGTGAGGCTCAAATGTCTTGTTGTGAAAAGCCCTTTACTACAGTAAAGCTGCTACATATGAGGGTACGGATTAGGAGTAGGCCATTTGGCCCCTCAGATCTGCTCTGCCATTTAATATGATCAGGGTTTGATTGTGCCCTGGACTCCACATTCCCACCTAAACCTGATAATGTGTCACTCCTTTCCATAATGAGAATCTTTTGACATCTGTCTTAAAAATTTTCAAACTTTCTACTTCCACTGCCAATGTGGAAGGGAATTCCAAAGACCGCGTGACCCTTTGAGAGAGAAAATTTCACCCTATCTGAGTCTTAAAGGGGCAGCCTCTTATTTAAAAGTAAGTTCTAGACTCTCCCATAGGAGGAAAACGTGTTCACATCCACCGGGTGAAGCCCCTTCAGGATCTTGTGTGTTGTAATCACGTCGCTACTTCCTCATAGAATCCCTACAGTGTGGAAACAGGCCCTTCGGCCCAACAAGTCCACACCGACCCTCAGAGCATCCCACCCAGACCCATCCCCTATAACCCACCTAATCTGCACATCCCTGGACACTACAGGTAATTTAGCATGGCCAATCCACCCTAGCCTGCACATCTTTGGACTGTGGGAGGAAACCGGAGCAAACCCACACAGACACTGGGAGAATGTGCAAACTCCACACAGACAGTTGCCCAAGGGTGGAATCGAACCCAGGTCCCTGGCGCTGTAAGGCAGCAGTGCTAACCACTGAGCCACCGTGCCTATTCCAAACAGCAGCAGATACAAGTCTAACCTGTACAAGCTTTTCACGCAAGCCAAGCTGCATACAGGTTGCATTCCAGGCAGTAGTCTAGTAAACCTCCTCTTAACTGTTTCCAATACATTTACATCATTCCTTATATAAGGTGACCGGTGATGTACAAATGGTCCCGATGTGGTCACCTGAAGCACCGCCTTCCTACTCTTGTATTCAGTTCCAATGCAAGGTCTTGTAGAATGATTGATGTTGCATGTAGGACTCTCCCTCCCCAGGCCATACTGTGATGGGAGCTATCACAGGCACCAGCAACTCTGTCCCCTGAACCAGTCTTTCAGCGTGTGATCTGACAGTGAACGTAAATGGAGAAGGTTAACCCTAGCCTTGCTGGACTCTTCAACTTTCAGTCAGGGATGGAGGAGGGTGGCCTTGGATTATTGCATTGCAATCAAGGAAACAAAATAAACCATAGATGGTAAGAACTGCGGATGCTGGAGTCAGAGATAACACAGTGTGGAGCTGGAGGAACACAGCAGGCCAGGCAGCATCAGAGGAGCAGGAAAGCTGACATTTAGGGTTGAGACCCTTTTTCAAAAAATAAACCATGTCCTCTCTCACCTTATTGCACTATTGCTTCTTGCCCTTGCTAAGCCATAAAAGCAGAACTAGGCCATTCACCCTTTCTTGAGATCACTGCTGATCTGATAATCCTCAGATCCCCTTTCCTGTATTCTCCCCACAATCCTTGACGATTAAATATCTGTCTAAACCTTGAATGTAAAGATTAGTAACGGATTAAATTGTAATCATTTTAATCAACTTGTTTGGACGTGTTATGACATGCGTCCGGGACAGGTGGGATTTGAACCCAGACCTGCTGGTCCAGAGGTAGGGACACTGCCACTGACTTGATGGAGATACAGGATAGCTCCTGGGTCTAGATGGTTTGCGTGGGAGGCCTAAAGATGCCTTCACCTCCCTCTAATGCAATGAAATCAGTGATGCTTTCAGGCTGCCTTTCCCTTGTGACCCTGAGTAATTGCACGGCTATCCCAAGACAACCATGGTTAGTCAGGGACACTGTCCATCCTGGAGAGACTTAAGAACTGGTTGGGTTTGATGTTTGGGTCACTAGTCCGGTTCCAAAAATGTTGTCACATCTGTTATTCCTTTGAAGGGGCCTTGCTTTTCTTTAAACACCACTGCTGAACAAATAATTTACTGGGCTTCAATCCAAAGCCCTGGAAGATGCGATTTGTGATCCTGGGATGTGTGACACATGATTCTTGACCTCTCTCGCTCTGAATTTTCCAGTTGAAGTAACCAGCATTTCCTCTGGTACAGCTCACTGCCCCAGCGAGACAGACATTCATGGGTTCGATTCCCACCCCTCAGGAATAATTCCATCATACAGGCTGATAGGCCTGCACGGTGGCTCAGTGGTTAGCACTGCTGCCTCACAGCACCAGCGACCCAGGTTCGATTCCACCCTCGGGCGACTGTCTGTGTGGAGTTTGCACATTCTCCCCGAGTCTGCGTGGGTTTCCTCCGGGTGCTCCGGTTTCCTCCCACAGTCCAAAGATGTGCAGGTTAGGGTGGATTGGCCATGCTAAATTGCCTGTAGTGTTCAGGGCTGTATAGGCTAGGTGGGTTAGCTGTGGGTTACAGGGATAGGGTGGAAGGTGTGGGTCTGGGTGGGATGTCCTTTGGAGGGTCGGTGTGGACTCGATGGGCCGAATGGCCTGCCCCCATGCCTTAAGGATTCTATGATTCCACACATTGCACAGGGAGAACTGCACTTACAGATGAGATATTAAACCAAAACTCAGATCTGGCCTCTCAGATGGATGCAGAAGGCCCCTAGCACTAATTTGAAGAGGAGGAGTAGTTTTCCTTGGTGTCCTGGCCAATATGAATCGATCCATATCACTTCAAAACCAAGCAGATTATCTGGACGTTATCACACTGTTATTTGCAGGTAGTTGTGTTCTTCACTGACTGCTAAGTGCTTTGGAATGTCCTGAAATTATGCATCAAACTGCATGGATTCCTGATGGACTTAGTCGTAAGATCTTAAAAGTAATGAGATAATCGATGCATTGGTTTCAATTTTACAAATCTTCCTTGATTCAGGATCAGTCCTTTTAGATTAGAAGGCAGCATATTCCGAAACAGAGGGGGACAGAAAGCAGGAAACTACAGGCTGGTTAGCTTAACTTTTGCAAAATGTTAGATGGTATTCTTTAAGAGGCTATTAGCAGGGAATCAGACAGAGTCAGCATAGTAATGTGCAAGGGAGATCAGGTCTAATCAAACTGTGAAAGTTCTTTTTGGAGGTAATATGCTGTGGAGAAAGAGGAACTGGCCGATGTCTTGTATTAGATTTCCAGATAACGTCAAAGGTCTTTATAGAAAATAAAAGCTCATGTTGTAAGAGGTAACATTTTGGCATGGATAGAAGGTTGGTTGATGAACAGGAAGCAGAGAGTAGGTATAGATGAATCTTTTCTCCAGCTTCGAAAACTGTAAAGTGAAGTCTACCACAGAGGTCGGTGCTAGGACTTCAACTGTTTACAAATTATGTAAATGAACAGGGTAGATGTGGAAAGGATGTTCCCTTTTAGGGGAGTATTTACAACAAGGGGGCCACTGTTAAAAACCCATTTAAAACAGAGAAGAGATAATTGTTTCTCCTGTCAAATTGTTAGAAACCTCTTCCGTAAAGGTTTTGGAAATGGGAGTGCTTGAATATTTTGAAGGTAGAGGCCGCACTTGGAGTATTGCGTACAGTTCTGGTCGCCGCATTATAGGAAGGATGTGGAAGCATTGGAAAGGGTGCAGAGGAG